CGACCTCAAGGACTAATAATTACAAAATTTAGAGCCTCTTCTTGATGATGCAATAAGAAACATTCAGTAAGTTAGAGGACAACTTCCATGATCTACTAAAATATCTTCTAGCATCACAGTTAGGGCTGAGAGCTACCTGAAATGATCATCGCTTGTGTTTTTCTGTTGCAGGTCATTGTTCACATGTATTGGTTAGATGGGAAAACTGAGATGAAGAGATTCCTTTAAGAGAATTAGAAGATGCTCTGCTTCTAGCTCATTCTGACAAAGACGTGTTATGTACTGAGACTCCCTTCCCTATATCAAAGCTTCTGCAAATGCAAGAAAATGCCTGTCATGGTAATAAGAATGCTCCTACTCTAAGCATGTTAGCCCTGTAATATCAAGTGAAATCAACAGACCTTGGAACAAAATCTTCATAAGAATTTCCAGAAAAATGATCAAACCTTTAAAATATTTTCCAACTGTCCCTTGCTGTCATAAGGATACGACTGTAAGGTAAATTCCAGGCAAATCTTCCAAGGAGCGGTACTTTTGCCATGACCCTGAAAAAGTGACAAATGACTGCCGACTGTTGAAACTTCCCCTTTTTGCACAGACATATTTCTTGGAGGCAACACGTAGAGGCAATAAACTCTTAGAGAAGGCTTTCAGCCCTGAAAGCCGTCCATTCTGAAATGTGTCCACAGAGAGCCTCAATAAGCAGCCTGGGATAGAGGGGAAGTTACAGTTCAGGCAGACATTATGGCTCTGTCTCTCCCTGTCAGTGTGCCCTGGGGCTAATTGCTTAATTTCTCTGAGCCTAGTTTTCTCATCTGTGAAACCTTCAGTGCTGCTGGAAGGTCTGGAAACAATGTGTGATATAGCATCTAGCAGGGTTGCTGCCTTAGAGTACGTGCTCCATAAATGGTGCAGATGAAGAAAATCACCACCACCATCTCCATTTTAAACTTTGATCCTTTTTTTAAAAATTCAGTTTTATGTATATTTATTTTTGTGGGGTATAGTGTGGTGTTTCAATACATGCATATACTGCACAATGATTCACTTAGGGTAGATAGCATAATTTTGTCCCCGTTAGTCCACCCCTTATCGTCTCCCTCACCCCCCTCCTAGCCTCTGTTAACCATTATTCTATTCTCTACTTTTTTTTTTTAACACACAAAGATTAGTATCCTTACTGCAAAAAGAACTCTTAAAAATGAATTAGAAAAACCTAAACTGAAATTTGGTGAAGGACATGAGCAGATAAGTCTCACACTCAAAGAAATACACGATTAGTAAGTATCTTCTAGGATCTGGTTGCGGGCGGGGCTGTCCCGGCCCCATGTCTCAGGATCCTGGGCATTGGGTTGGCTCTCTTGCTGGCCTGGATGTGCAATCACAGTGGGGGTGGGGCAAGGGCCCATGGCCTCAGGCTGGCTTCCCTAGACTTTGATTCTTATTACTCCAGAGCAAATATTAGAATGACTGAAAAGAGTCATTTTCATCTAAGTGCTCACCATCAGCCAACATATATCTCAAATATGTATTACCCCCTCCTTCTTTGAAGTTTTCCACCACAAATGTGTTATCCACCCTCTCACTCCACCAACTTTTGAGCACTGCTTTGTATTGTTAAGTGATTATTTTCTGAATATTAGACTTATCTCCCCATCCAAATAGAAAATGCTCGAGGAAATGGTCATGTCTTACATACCTTGTGTTCCTTGGAGTGCCTGGTGTAATACTTGGCTGAATTGTGAAAGAATCTGAGTCAACTTCTTCAGTAGAAATGCATGTGTCTATTCGACACAGCTGTGCCTGCATTCTGCCCACCCTCCATCTCCTTCCTCTGGAAGTATGGCCTTGGGGAGGATGAGCGTGGGTGTGATCATATGTCAGCCGGGGTCATTGAGACCAACTTTTCGTTTTCTTCGTTTCTTCATATGTATGACATATCGAACTACATTATGCAGTATTTCATAGCCTTGGCATAAAGGTTCACTTTTTAATTCAACACATTAATTCCTGGTTGTATGCCAGGACCTGTGCGTAAGTACAGAGATAGACAAGACACAGTCCTGGACCTCAAGTTGCTAACAATGTAATGGGGGAAGACAGAAATAAATGCATGTAAAATGTTTTGTAACACAGGAAAAGAAAATACTCTTGGGGTATTTTGAGAGCACGAGCAAGGATATCACGGAAGGCTTCTTGGAGAAAGTGATACAGTGTTCAGTCTGGAAGGATGGTAGGTGTTAGGTAGTTGATGCAGGAAGGGTTGGGAGTGGAAAAGAAGGCGTTTGAGTTAGAGGAGAAGTGTGAGCAATGACGTGGCATCCTAAGGGGTGGTAGGTGCAGGGAATTATAAGGAAGCAGCTCAAGGTTGCTGGAACGTGAAGTGCTTGTTACGTAAAGATGAGAAACGTGCCTGGAGTGGGGCAGGGACCGGGTCCGGAGCAGGGCGGGTACGGGGTCTGAATCACAGTGGACCTCTTATGCCATGTTAATGAGGAACTTGGCTTGATCCTGTCAGAGAGGGAGAGACATTGAAAGTAAAGGAAGGATGCCATGGTCTGAATGTTTGTCCCCTCCAAAGCTCATGTGGGAATGTGGGAGCTTGGTCCCCAAAGTGGCAGTGTTGAAAGGTGGGGCTTTAAGAGGTGATTGGCTCATGAGCACTGTGCTCTCATGAA